TATTATATAATAATAATAGTTTCCCAACTCATCTGTCTACTTCCATTTTTGCTTTTCATTTTACCCAAACCACATAATTTATATACCCAATAAAATATTACGCAGAGATGAATAATACCTCATTTATCTGAAGAAAAGTCATCCAGCTGACTTGGCTTTCTAAATCAGAGCTGCAAACACCTATGAGAAAAGATATTAGGAAACCCCAAATAGAAATTCTAAACACTGCACTGAGGCTGTCACTCAGGATGTTACGGATTTTTGAAACAAACTTCACTAGCCTAGTTTATGCTTTTTTACAGTCTGCAGGAAGTTTAGAAGCAGTAAGATTCAAAACAAGTGGAGCATTGCTAGAGGACAGCCATTTAAAGCTTTGCTACTCAAAGTGTAGACCCTGGACCAGCAACTTCTGTATCACCTCCTAGAAGTTCAGAATCTCAGACCCCATTCCAGACCTGCTGAATCAGAATGTGCATTTTAACAAGATCCTCAGGTAATTTGTAAGCATATTAAAGTTTTAGATGCACTGATTTAAGGCAAATTATGTGAAAATCAAACTGCTACAACAAATTGGGGAGTGATAAATCACATTTTCATTAAAACCCACATAGACATTAAGTTCTGCTAATGATCTTTAGATGACTGAACTGCTTTTTCCTTTTATTGTTATGGTTATTAGTTTTTAATTTCAGAACATTATGGGGCTACAAATGTTTTAGTTGCATGAATTGCTCTCGTACAGTTTTTTTTTTTATTTTTTCGAGACAGAGTTGCACTTTGTCGCCCTTGGTAGAGTGGTGTGGCATCATAGCTCACAGCAACCTCAAACTCTTGGCCTCAAGCGATTCTCTTCCCTCAGCCTCCCAAGTAGCTGGGATTACAGGCACTCGCCACAATACCCGGCTATTTTTTAGAGACAGAGACTTGCTCTTGCTTGGGCTGGTCTTGAACCCATGAGGTCTGATAATCCACCACGGAAAGCAAGCAGGTGGGGGCAGGTGGGGAGGGGTCACCTAACCAGTACAATGCACACTATCCAGGTAAGGGACACACTTAACAACTTTGACTCAAACCGTACAATGGGCATGGTGGCTCACTAACCATCCACACTAAACCCTACTTATCTAAACTTGTACATGAATTTGCATAGCAGCATCAGCCTCCCAGAGTGCTAGGATTACAGGCGTGAGCCACCACGCCTGGCTCTTGTACAGTTTGAATCAAAGTTGTAAGTGTGCCCCTTACATGGATAGTGTGCATTGTACCTGTTAGGTGTGAATTTACCCCTCCCCTCCTGCCCCCTCCTACCTGCTTGCTTTCCGTTGAGTTTTTTTTTAAGATACACAGTTTTTATCACCCTCGGTAGAGTGCCGTGGCATCACGGCTTACAGCAACCTCCAGCTCTTGGGCTTAGGTGATTCTCTTGCCTCAGCCTCCCTGGGAATACAGGAGCCCACCACAACACCCAGCTATTTTTTTTGTTGCAGTTAGGCCAGGGCCAGGTTTGAACCCACCACCCTCGATATATAGGTCCGGCGCCCTACTCACTGAGCCACAGGTGCCACCCCCGCTTTCCGTTGAGTTTTACTACCAAATGTGCACTTGGGTGTTAGTTCCAATTTAATACTGAGTACACAATTGTGTTTGTTTTTCCATTCTTGCGAAATGTTACTTAGAAGACTGAATTGCTTTTTCAAAAAGTTTATATCAGGACATGTCCATTAAAATTTTCTCAGGCGGCTCGGCACCTGTGGCTCAAGTGGCTAAGGCACCAGCCACATACACCTAAGGTGGCGGGTTCGAATCCAGCCTGGACCCGCCAAACAACAATGACGGCTGCAAC